TATGAGAATAATAATAGCAATGGTGTCACTGTAGCAATGCTGTAACAGAATTAAAAGACGAAATACTGTAGCAACCAGAAGAAAGTAATAGTGAAGCATATAGGTCAACAGAAAACCAGACCAACATGGCGTTAAACCTATTTAAATTTAAGAATAATCATAAAGATGATTATGTTAAAAATATGGAAGAAATAGAATTCTATAATATTGAAAATAAATTACAGAATTGCCCTATACCCCAGTATCTAACTAAGAAAATTTATAATATTGGACCTTTTGATTTTAAATCAAGTTCAACAATCAAAACGTTAGAGGGAACCATTCCGTTTGACCAGAATGGAGATATTCTACAACGTTTAACTGAAAAAGAGGTCTTAAAGGCCCAAGATAATTATAAATTTCTACATATAGGATTAATCCAGTTGCTTTAAAACCATCAACTCTTAAAGGATTAAATGTCTCTTTTATGATAGCATTAATTTTGATCAATCTTTAATGGATGTTATGAAGTCCAGTTTAAGTACTGGTTCTGTATATTTTAACTGTTTTCCAAACTTATCAATATCTTTAACGGATAAAAATATTTTAGATGTTTTAACATATAATATTAATACTTATGGTTATAATTATAAGGATAGTACAAATATAATGATATTTACCTATAGGGTATATTATAAAGTTATGAATATTTTATGTCCAGAAGTTACACTTCACAACCTTAAAGGTTAAACAACTTTAATTGAAACAAATACAATTAAAAATAAAATTGAAATTCCTAAAACCATTAAATGGTCAGAAATCCAATTTCCAGAAACATGGCAATTGGAATCTGTGGTTCCTAAAAAACCATAAATAAATAAAAAAATAACTCATATCGCTCCATCATCTTAGGGTGATGTAATGATAAGATTTACTAAAAATAATTTTACAAGTTCGAAAATTTTTGATAAATCAAAAACTTCATCAATATCTTATACTCCTTATAGGAGATCCACTTCTTCTATCTCAGATCGAAGAAAAGGTAAAGAACCTATAATTGAAAGAATAAAAATTTTAAAAAATAATATTCTTCATGGTATATATAGACCAGATAATAAATCTTTCTTTCAGGAAGATATTGATCCAACTCCATCCGAAATCAGATTTCAACTGTAGTCTTTATGAATTTAAAACCAATAGAATTTGTGGTTAATATAAATCAAATTAATGAAGAATTTTATCTTCCTAAATATAAAGAATTTAGGACTTGGTATTTCAAAACTATGAATCAAGATGACCTTAAAAGGTATAAGAAAATGTTTTACCTTTATATAGAAAGGGAAAAAAGAATAATTCATTTTGTTAATAGATCAGGTAAATGAATTTAAAACATTGCCCCTTTATGATGTAGAAGAAATAGAGTTCATAAATGAACTCAAAACTAAATTAAAAAATTTGTCATTAAATGTAGTCTCTCAGACAGAAACTGCAAAGCAATCTGAAACTAAAATTCAACAAATCAATGAAATAATTTATGAACATCTTCCAAAGAAAACTTTAACTATTAAAAGTAATGAATCTCAAGAAGGATATTCGGATAAGTTCTTCCATAAAAGGAATTATGATAAGGGCAAAGTCAATAAAGAAGAAAATAAACTTACCAAAATCACTAAGTTAAAAGACAAGAACTCTATCACTCACTTTAAGTGGGAGAAAGTTGGACATGTTGCATCCAAATGTTTAACCAAAAAGCAGATTAATGAACTAATCATGGTTACAGCTCTTAAAATTGTCTTGAATTCAAAAAATAAAGATCATAAATTGTCTGAAGAAGAATATAATATTAATGAAATAAGTAATTCTTCCTCAAAAAAAAAGTAATTTGGAACAAGATAAAACTTGTTCATCCCATTGTAAAGCATGGAATAATTATAATAAAACTATTTTGGATATGAATGGATCAAGTATAAATACTCTGTTTTTAGAAAAAAATGTCAGTACTGAATCAGATAAAAGAAAATTTCACTCATAAAGAGAATCATAATAATTTAAAATTTAGTAAAAATGACTTGTCATTAATTTCTAACTCATTATGGAGTGGTGCAACTTTGACAGGAAATTTAAACATGCATCCTAATAATGATTCATTCTCACTCAGTCATATTGCCAAATCACAAAAAAATTTTGATTGCATTTGCAATTATGCTGGTGAGGATATTTTTAGCTTTAATTCTACCTGGCAAATTAATTGTTGCAAGGTTTCACTTTAGTGTCTGTACTGCAATGCTATGGAAGATCAATTGATTGATCATGTTCCTATCTTCCTTTTAAGAATTGCTCGATCTAATAAAGACTTTCCTAAATTTCATCTTATACTTAAAATTAATGATTGGTATTATGACTGGCGATATAAGCAATGGATGGAGAATATTGCTCTAGAAGCATTCTGCCATCTAATGATAAAACGACTTGGGGTTATTCAGATACATATAAAAATGCTTATGATGCATATAAAAATGCATATTATTTTGATCCATATAAAAATGATTATTATTCGCCTTTCAATAACCTACAGCTTAAAGTTGTCAATCATCATTATTCTGAAGAAAAATCATCACATAAGAGTGATACCAATGCATTATTTTTGCCTGAGCCTAGCTCAAAGGATAAAGCCCTTTTAACTATCCCCAAACATTAATATTATCTTCATATAGGAAGAATAATTATATTACCTGGTTTAATGTCTTCTTAAATAATTGTGGGATAAATTCCGAACCTATGAAAAATTATTTAACCTGTATAAAGACAAAAGTCCATAAAGGATAATGATATTTTGGCCAATTCCTGATTAATCAGGGAATATCATGTTCGTTTCTGAAATAATTATCCGCTTGAATCAAAATATCAAGTTATAGCGGAATGTCTTAAAGACATGGGAGAAGAGAAAGAAAAAACTTCAACCTCTACAGCTATAATTCCCACTACCAGTATAAATACTGGATTTAATTCCGTTGAAGTTCTTAAAGAACAAATTAAAAAAGAAAAATCCCATTTAAATATTGAACAGATTAAACCAACAGTTATGGAGGAGTGGCGTCTTCAGGTGATGTCTACATTTGAAATAGGCAAAACCGAAAAGATGGATCTAACATTTGAAATAGGCTAACACTCCAACAGTTGCTAAGGAAAGATAAAGTTGAGAAGGATAATAGGAAAACCCTACTCTTACTGACTTTGATGATGACTTTATGGATTCTCTGGGATATACCCCTCTTAAAGCGATATTTCTATTAATGAAGATTTACTTAATGATGATATGAAGATAAACCTCCATAATGATAGCAGTAATATGTTGTATAATTTGCTTTACAGGAAATGATCAAATAAAGCTGAATTTCCAGATAAAGCCAACTTTGAAGAAGTGACGCATGCCATGACATCACTATAAAAGTTGTGAATAGTAAAAGGTGTACAGTATTACTGAAGTATACAACGACGTCAATGTAAATTATTAAAGTTGTGAATAGTATAAAATTATGAATAGTATAGGTTAGTTTGAAATCCGAACTTCAAGTTCGGCTTCTATCTAAAGACTTGTGGAGCACTGCCCCCTTGATCACCACTCAGTCTCTCTTCCTCTTCCTTTCTTGCACCCTCTCTAAACCCTGTCTCTTGTATAATAATATCCATCTTCTACCTTCTACACCCCCTCTGTAAGTAAACTCTAGTACAAATTACTATATTAAATAAAAGTTTTTGCTGATATTTTGTCCATAGATCAATCCTTCCCCCTATTTGCAAATATATATATATATAGATACACACACACACACACACATGCATACCTAAAAATATATAATTTTTGAAGTTATATAAATACCGTTTCAACTTGCTCATCATTTCATGCAATGCATGTGTCCAATAGAGATTGGAAGAGAGATAATTGATTGTCTTCCCAACAGACATTGAAATATAGTTAGGGTTTTGTCTGTTTGAATGAGAAGAAGAATTAAATACAGGAAAAACAATGAGGATCTCAAGAGAAAAAGATGATTGAAAGCTTTATAACATACATGAAAACAACATTGTTTCACTATATAGGGTAAAAAAAACCACGATGCCGTTTTAATATTGAGCATATCATTTTTTTCATCCTACTGAAACGTATCATTTTATACGCCAAAAAACGATACGACTCATAGATACATATCATTTGGACCGTAGTATATCATAATGTATTGTACGATACGCATGGGGTATCGTCAGATATTGACAACTATGAATACATCAAAACAAAGTGGTGAGGCCTAATAGAGGTATATACGCCAACCAACAGATTAACTTCCTCTCTCCTTTAACCAAGATAACCTTGTTACCTTTGAGAGAGAAATGTTTGAATCGAATAAAATTTGAACTTCAAATCATGTTGACGAGACCCACAAATTTCACAAGTGTAAAACACAAAGGGTAGAGCGTTAAAGCTAAGTAGGGCACCTTCACCGTATCATTTTACTTGACATAAAAAACACAACACCACAACAAGAACAACAACGTTCACGGATGCCCACATAGATGTCGTGAGTGTCATTTGTGCAGGTACAAACATAAGCTAACAATTTATGCCAAAATATACAATTTGGGGAAAAAAAATTGGCAATGTCAACAGATTCAGAAAAAACAATGAACGAATGAGAGAAAAAAAAACACTAAATCATTCTTCATGCGTTTGACTATAATCCTTTTAGTTGTTATCTCCAATATATAAGTTGAAGGATCTTTTGCATCTACGCAAACTCCAATGAAGCTAAAAACTATTGTGTAGTTATGAAATTTTTCTTGTCCTTAGTGGTTTAAAGGGGAACAGTTCTCTATGCATAGTTTTTGTTCTCTTCATTGCAACTTAACCTGCACTTAGTTAAAAGTTTATTGCCGGTTAGTGTTAATCTTAATGCGAATTAATCCACTGAAAATATAGTTTCACAACAAACGTATTGTTGCATCATAACTAAACAACAAATTAATTAATTAATAACAAAAATAACCTTAAACTGACCTCGAATTAATTGGTTAGCCATTCTCTGATACTCCTCCTTGTCCACCATCCCATCTAGACCTGGACCTGGAACCGAACCTGGCCACCATTTTGGCAACTTTTCCTCCATTCTCCTACCCCAGTTCCTACCCCAATTCTTCGGCATTGTTTCAGAAATTTCACCAACATTACCCCTAGTAGAAGATAAAGGATTTTTCAAAACCTTAAATTCATTTTTCTTGTTTTGCTTAATCCCAACCACCACTTCTTTTCCGCCTAAACTCCTATCTCTCCTCCTAATAACATTCCCGCTATGCCCGTATCCGAATCGATTCTTCAACCCAAGCCCTAATTCTATCAGAACCCTAAATGCAAAGACTATTAAAAACCCGCAAATTATCAAACTGCCTAAGAATCTAACCGTGGACCTGCGGCAGGAGATCATAACCCTGTGATCAGCATCAACAGTGATTAGGGTTTGCAAGTCTTTGTAGGTTTCGTTTGACAAGCTGATGAACTTTTCGATATATAAAGATGTTTTGTTTGGTATATTTTCAAGGTTTATCACATACTGGAGATTTTGATTGGACGGCAGAGGAGAGGAGGGGTTGATGGGGTTGGGCTTCTTGGAAAGAAGGCGGCGACGGTGGTGGCGACGGAGGGAATTCGAGATTGTACGGTGGTAGTAGCGTCGGTGAGGGCATTTTGGGAAATCCAAGTACGGAATCCTTGGAAGTGGAGAAGAAACGAAAACCGATGGCTTCCCAGGGTAGTTCATTTCGTTAGAATCAAGGTGTAGTGGTATAGACGTAGAAAATAGACAGACTTTGCTTGCAAACTGAAACTTTAAAAAGAGGAGTAAGAGTATAGGAAAATACTGAAACCCAAAAATTAAAATTAAAATATATATATTTTTTTGGACGAATGCAAAATAAGTGGATTTCATTAAAATAATTAATGAGACTGGTTTATCTAAAAAATGATGTATATCTGAGTTTAATTTTTTTGACTTTTATTTGAATTTTATAACATTACTTTGAGATATACAAGGACAATTGTACTTTTTAAAATTTTGAACAATATTATAAAACCTAAATAAAATCTAAAAAATTACAATTCAAATACATATTATTCTTCAAATGAGTGGGTCTCATCAATTTTTCGATTGGACTTATTCATCCCATATTTATCCTAGGAATAATATGCATTTGAGTTTTAATTTTGGGGTTATATAACATTTTCTTAAAATTTTTAAGGGTTAATTACAATTTATTATTTTTAAGTTTGGGTTATGTTACAATCAAATCTCTCTAGTTTCAATTTTAATAATTAATTCCCTATAATTTGAACATTTTTTCAATTTACTCTTGCCGTCATTTTTTGACCGTCTAAATTGATGGTAACTAATCACCAAAAACTAATGTGACCTAAATTTTTCTTAAAAGATAAAATTAATATTTTCTCTTCTTCTTTTTGTCTCTTAATTGAGTCAAATTTTTTCTTTCTTTTTTTATAATCGGTGCAAAAAAAAAAAAAACCTAACTAATCAACACTCCCCCCCCCCCTTTTTCCAATACAAATCACAAAAAGGTTGATGCAGGAAGATACAAGTTAGATGATACTGAGTTATCAGATGACATGTTGATGGCGCTAAAATACATTGAGTTAGCATATCAGTGCAAAGATGGCAGACGGTCAGCGTAGGGAAAGAGAGGAAATCCAAGTCTAAGAAGAGTTGACACTGTTTTGACCATAACTTTTGATCTGTTTGGAGTTACAGGGCTCATAATATATCAAATCGAAGCTCTCGACGAGCCCTTCCGAAGTTTTTTCAGTTTTGGGTTTATTTTAATTTTTTCGTAATTGAATTATTTCTTGTGTAATTAGGGTTTCTAGCTTATTGTTTAGTATTTGAAGGATGTTTTCATATGTTTTAGGGTTAACTCTCATTATTCTGATTTTATAAAAATTGTGGTTGCTTAGTTAGTTTTTTAGGCGATTCTCTTGTGTTCTTCACTATGAATTATTTGTTGAAACAAGTCTGCAAAATAATCGCTATTCTATTTGGCGTTAGTTGGTATCAGAGCTTCAACATCTTCCTGGGGTGAGATCTCATCAGTTTCAATGGCTGGTGGTCGTGGTCGTGGTCGTGGTCGTGACGAGGAAGTCTCACACCATGATCGTAGCATTCAGGATGTGATGATTAAGGATTTGCAAAGGCAATTTGCAGAGTTAACTCGGCATCTAACGGAGCAGAATTTCGATAACCATGAGATGGGAGATCACGATTCTGATTCCAATTTCAAAAATCCGTATCACAATCGTGCTCAATTCTATGGTCAGGACGATTGTCTTGGAGACCTTGGTTTCAGACTGAGTTTTCTAGTGCGTTATAGGCTGAGGGATTCATCGATTAGTTGAATGAAGTAAAGCATATTTTTTATTATAAGGGAGTCCTAGATCATATCAAAGTGAAATTAGTCGCTATCAAACTTAAAGGCAAAGCATATGCGTGGTGGGAGCAGTTAAGGCGATCACGAAAGAAGCAGGGCAAAGCCATGACCACTGATTGGGAGAGGATGAAGAAGAAGAAGATGAAGGGTCACTTCCTTCATTTCGACTACTCTCAAACCTTGTTTCAATGACTCCATTTGTTGAGGCAAGGCACAAGATCAGTTGATGATTACACGGAGGAGTTCTATCAACTAATAGCCCGGAATGATTTATCTGAGATGGAAGAGCATATGGTGGCGCAATATTTGGGGGGATTACAACTGCCACTACAGGATATCCTCAGTCTTCACTCGATGTGGACCATTTCTGAAGCATACCAGCTTACAATTGCTATGGAAAAATAGCAGAACAGGAAGCCAATGATTAGAAGCGATCAAAATAGTCACCCAATTCGCCCTCATGAATCCCGTTCTGCTCAGCAGGTTGGCATTCCATCAAGATTGAGATTATAATCTACAAAGTCTACACCACTTGTACGACATAGAGCAACTGAGTGCAGGAAGTTTGTCAATCGAAAGAGCAAAAATCTCNCCGTAAGGTAGTTCTAACTCTAATATTAGATGTTTCAGATGTGGTGAACATGGACATAGAGCAACTGAGTGCAGGAAGTTTGTCAATCGAAAGAGCAAAAATCTCTTGATTGAGGAAGACATAGTAAATGAAACTGAGGAGGTTAGAGAGCTTGTGTATGACGATGATGAAGACGGAGATGTGTTGTATGGTGATGGCCATGAAACTCTGGTCATTCGCAAGAGTCTATTGACTCCCAAGAGTAGGGGATGATTGGTTGAGAACCAATATTTTCCACACGATAGTTACAGATAAATTCTACAAGATGATCATTGATAGTGGCAGTTGTGAGAATGTAGTGTTTGAAGAAGTTGTCCAAAAATTGCAGTCGAAAATAGATCGTCATCCTAAGCCATACAAATTGTCATGGCTGAATTAAAGCAGTGAGGTAAAAGTAGATAGGCGATGCTTGGTGTCTTTTTTGATCGGCAAGAAATATTTTGATAATGTTTGGTGTGATGTTGTGTCTATGGATGCTTGTCATGTATTATTAGGCAAACCTTGGCAGAACGCTCGCAGTGTTGTTCATGATGGGCGGAAAAATATATATTCCCTTAGCATCAAAGGGAAGAAGATTATGTTGGCGCCTTGTCAGGAAGGAACCACTCCTACCCTGGTAGCCAATAATACTAATATGTTTTCTATGTCCAAGTTTTTAGTTGAGATAGAGCGTGGAGACGTGGTCTATGCTCTACTGCCTTGTTGGAATAGTGCAGTAGACATGGACCCAGATTTACCAGCAGAGGTGCAGTAATTGCAAGCATAATTTTCCAACCTGATGCCAGAGGATCTTCCTCCTGCGCTACTGCCTATAAGGGATATTCAGCATCAGATCAACCTTGTGCCAGGGTCGAGTTTGCCTAATCGACTGGCCTATTGCCTCAATCCCAAGGAATCTGAAGAGTTGTAGCAATAGGTGGTAGAGTTGTTGGAGAGGGGCTACATCCATGAGAGTTTGAGTCGGTGTGCAGTCTCTACCCTACTGGTGCCGAAGAAAGATAGCTCTTGGCGGATGTGTGTTGACAGTAAAGCAATCAACAGGATTACAGTGAAATACAAATTTCCAATTCCTCGTCTGGATGATATGTTAGATCAGCTATTCGGTTCTAAGGTTTTCTAAAAAATTGACCTTAAAAGCGGATACCACCAGATCAAAATAAGGCTTGGAAATGAGTGAAAGAAATCCTTTAAGACACGACATGGGTTATATGAGTGGATGGTCATGCCTTTTGGGCTGTCCAATACGCCCAATACATTTATGAGATTTATGCATCAGGTTTTATGGCCTTTTATGGGAAAATTCGTTATGGTTTACTTCGACGATATACTCATTTATAGCCCAACATGGGTGTCACACTTTGAGAACCTCTGTGTTGTTTTTGATATGTTGAGGACGGAGCACCTGTTTGTCAATTAGAAGAAATGTTCTTTCTTCACTACTTTTGTAACCTTCCTTGGTTTTGTTGTGTCTACTGATGGTGTTCATGCAGATCAGTCAAAGAAAGATGCAGTCTTGGAGTGGCCCAAACCAAGAACCTTGCACGATGTTAGAAGTTTCCATGGATTGGCATCCTTCTACCACCAGTTCATCAGAAACTTCAGCATCCTAATCGTCCCTATTACAGAGTGCCTCAAAGGACGTGATTTCCAGTGGTCTGAGGAGGGAGAGGCCAGTTTTCAACTAGCCAAGTAGAAGATGACAAAGGCAACAGTTTTGGCACTTCTTGATTTTGAAAGGGTGTTTGAGGTAAATTGTGATGCATCTGGGGTTGGCGTTACTGGTGTTTTGAGTCAGGAGGGGCATTCCATAGCTTTTTTCAGTGAAAAGCTATCGGGATCAAAGAAGAATTATTCCACCTATGATCTGGAGTTTTATGTTATAGTTTAGTCCCTGAAGCATTGGCGTTATTACCTAATACAGAGGGAGTTCATTCTTATCATTGATCATGAGGCCCTAAAGTACATTAATGGCCAACATGAGCTGAGTAGACGACATGCCAAGAGAGTGGCATACTTGCAGGTGTTCACGTTTGCGCTGAGGCACCAAGCAAGGAGTCTGAATCGTATTGTAGATGCACTGAGTTGTCATACATTACTCCTCACCACCATAAGCACCAGAGTTGTAGGATTTGAGACTTTCACTGATATGTATGCAGCAGATCCTTTCTTCGGGAGGATAATTCAGGAGGTAACTGATGGTCAACGTCATGATTTTATTTTGCATAATGGTTATCTGTTTCGCCAATTACAGTTGTGCATTCCAGATTGTTCACTAAGGCAGTAGATTATTAGTCAACTTCATAGCGAGGGTCACTGTGGGAGAGATAAGACGTTGGTCTTGATCTCGTCTGACTATTATTGGCCCAAATTGGCCAATGACGTGGCTCATTATGTGGAGCGTTGTTATATGTGTCAGCAGTCCAAAGGAGTTCTCACTAATGCGGGCATGTACACTCCTTTACCTGTTCTTGAGGCGCCTTGGTTCGATGTTAGTATGGAATTTGTGTTGGGCTTACCCCGTACCCAACGGGCCTTGGATTCTATTTTGGTTGTGGTTGACAGGTTTTTCAAGATGGCCTATTTGGTATCTTGCAAGAAAATAATGGATCTGCCTAGATCGCCCATCTCTACTTAATGGAGATTGTGTGTTTACATGGTGTTCCTCGATCAATCACTTCATATCGTGACACCAAG